TAGGTTCTGACGTTGTTGTCTCCCAGGTTCTGACGTTGTTGTCTCCTAGGTTCTGATGTTGTTGTCTCCTAGGTTCTCACGTTGTTGTCTCCTAGGTTCTCACGTTGTTGTCTCCTAGGTTCTGATGTTGTTGTCTCCTAGGTTCTGATGTTGTTGTCTCCTAGGTTCTGATGTTGTTGTCTCCTAGGTTCTCACGTTGTTGTCTCCTAGGTTCTGACGTTGTTGTCTCCTAGGTTCTCACGTTGTTGTCTCCTAGGTTCTCACGTTGTTGTCTCCTAGGTTCTGATGTTGTTGTCTCCTAGGTTCTGACGTTGTTGTCTCCTAGGTTCTCACGTTGTTGTCTCCTAGGTTCTGACATTGTTGTCTCCTAGGTTCTCACGTTGTTGTCTCCTAGGTTCTGACATTGTTGTCTCCTAGGTTCTGACATTGTTGTCTCCTAGGTTCTCACGTTGTTGTCTCCTAGGTTCTGATGTTGTTGTCTCCTAGGTTCTGACGCTGTTGTCTCCTAGGTTCTGACGTTGTTGTCTCCTAGGTTCTCACGTTGTTGTCTCCTAGGTTCTGACGTTGTTGTCTCCTAGGTTCTCACGTTGTTGTCTCCTAGGTTCTGACGTTGTTGTCTCCTAGGTTCTCACGTTGTTGTCTCCTAGGTTCTGACATTGTTGTCTCCTAGGTTCTGATGTTGTTGTCTCCTAGGTTCTGACGTTGTTGTCTCCTAGGTTCTGATGTTGTTGTCTCCTAGGTTCTGACGTTGTGTGTCTCCTAGGTTCTGACGTTGTTTGTCTCCTAGGTTCTGATGTTGTTTGTCTCCTAGGTTCTGACATTGTTGTCCTCCCAGGTTCTGACGTTGTTGTCTCCTAGGTTCTGATGTTGTTGTCTCCTAGGTTCTGACGTTGTTGTCTCCTAGGTTCTCACGTTGTTGTCTCCCAGGTTCTGATGTTGTTGTCTCCTAGGTTCTGACGTTGTTGTCTCCTAGGTTCTCACGTTGTTGTCTCCTAGGTTCTGACGTTGTTGTCTCCTAGTTCTGACGTTGTTGTCTCCCAGGTTCTCACGTTGTTGTCTCCCAGGTTCTGACGTTGTTGTCTCCTAGGTTTCTGACGTTGTTGTCTCCTAGGTTCTCACGTTGTTGTCTCCTAGGTTCTGACGTTGTTGTCTCCTAGGTTCTCACGTTGTTGTCTCCTAGGTTCTGACGTTGTTGTCTCCCAGGTTCTGATGTTGTTGTCTCCTAGGTTCTGATGTTTGTTGTCTCCTAGGTTCTGACGTTGTTGTCTCCTAGGTTCTGATGTTGTTGTCTCCTAGGTTCTCACGTTGTTGTCCTCCTAGGTTCTGACGTTGTTGTCTCCTAGGTTCTGATGTTGTTGTCTCCTAGGTTCTCACGTTGTTGTCTCCTAGGTTCTCACGTTGTTGTCTCCTAGGTTCTGACGTTGTTGTCTCCTAGGTTCTCACGTTGTTGTCTCCTAGGTTCTGACGTTGTTGTCTCCTAGGTTCTGATGTTGTTGTCTCCTAGGTTCTGATGTTGTTGTCTCCTAGGTTCTCACGTTGTTGTCTCCTAGGTTCTCACGTTGTTGTCTCCTAGGTTCTGACGTTGTTGTCTCCTAGGTTCTCACGTTGTTGTCTCCTAGGTTCTGACGTTGTTGTCTCCTAGGTTCTGATGTTGTTGTCTCCTAGGTTCTGACGTTGTTGTCTCCTAGGTTCTGATGTTGTTGTCTCCTAGGTTCTGACGTTGTTGTCTCCCAGGTTCTGATGTTGTTGTCTCCTAGGTTCTGACGTTGTTGTCTCCTAGGTTCTGACGTTGTTGTCTCCTAGGTTCTGATGTTGTTGTCTCCTAGGTTCTCACGTTGTTGTCTCCTAGGTTCTCACGTTGTTGTCTCCTAGGTTCTGATGTTGTTGTCTCCTAGGTTCTCACGTTGTTGTCTCCTAGGTTCTGACGTTGTTGTCTCCTAGGTTCTGACGTTGTTGTCTCCTAGGTTCTGATGTTGTTGTCTCCTAGGTTCTGACGTTGTTGTCTCCTAGGTTCTGATGTTGTTGTCTCCTAGGTTCTCACGTTGTTGTCTCCTAGGTTCTCACGTTGTTGTCTCCTAGGTTCTGATGTTGTTGTCTCCTAGGTTCTCACGTTGTTGTCTCCTAGGTTCTCACGTTGTTGTCTCCTAGGTTCTGATGTTGTTGTCTCCTAGGTTCTCACGTTGTTGTCTCCTAGGTTCTGACGTTGTTGTCTCCTAGGTTCTGACGTTGTTGTCTCCCAGGTTCTGACGTTGTTGTCTCCCAGGTTCTGATGTTGTTGTCTCCTAGGTTCTGACGTTGTTGTCTCCTAGGTTCTGATGTTGTTGTCTCCTAGGTTCTGATGTTGTTGTCTCCTAGGTTCTCACGTTGTTGTCTCCTAGGTTCTGACGTTGTTGTCTCCCAGGTTCTGACGTTGTTGTCTCCTAGGTTCTGATGTTGTTGTCTCCTAGGTTCTCACGTTGTTGTCTCCTAGGTTCTCACGTTGTTGTCTCCTAGGTTCTGACGTTGTTGTCTCCTAGGTTCTGATGTTGTTGTCTCCTAGGTTCTGATGTTGTTGTCTCCTAGGTTCTCACGTTGTTGTCTCCTAGGTTCTCACGTTGTTGTCTCCTAGGTTCTGATGTTGTTGTCTCCTAGGTTCTCACGTTGTTGTCTCCTAGGTTCTGACGTTGTTGTCTCCTAGGTTCTGACGTTGTTGTCTCCTAGGTTCTCACGTTGTTGTCTCCTAGGTTCTCACGTTGTTGTCTCCTAGGTTCTGACGTTGTTGTCTCCTAGGTTCTCACGTTGTTGTCTCCTAGGTTCTGACGTTGTTGTCTCCTAGGTTCTGACGTTGTTGTCTCCTAGGTTCTGATGTTGTTGTCTCCTAGGTTCTGACGTTGTTGTCTCCTAGGTTCTGATGTTGTTGTCTCCTAGGTTCTGACGTTGTTGTCTCCCAGGTTCTGATGTTGTTGTCTCCTAGGTTCTGACGTTGTTGTCTCCTAGGTTCTGACGTTGTTGTCTCCTAGGTTCTGATGTTGTTGTCTCCTAGGTTCTCACGTTGTTGTCTCCTAGGTTCTCACGTTGTTGTCTCCTAGGTTCTGATGTTGTTGTCTCCTAGGTTCTCACGTTGTTGTCTCCTAGGTTCTGACGTTGTTGTCTCCTAGGTTCTGATGTTGTTGTCTCCTAGGTTCTGATGTTGTTGTCTCCTAGGTTCTGATGTTGTTGTCTCCTAGGTTCTGACATTGTTGTCTCCTAGGTTCTGACGTTGTTGTCTCCCAGGTTCTGATGTTGTTGTCTCCTAGGTTCTCACGTTGTTGTCTCCTAGGTTCTGACATTGTTGTCTCCTAGGTTCTGATGTTGTTGTCTCCTAGGTTCTGACGTTGTTGTCTCCCAGGTTCTGACGTTGTTGTCTCCTAGGTTCTCACGTTGTTGTCTCCTAGGTTCTGACGTTGTTGTCTCCCAGGTTCTGACGTTGTTGTCTCCTAGGTTCTGATGTTGTTGTCTCCTAGGTTCTCACGTTGTTGTCTCCTAGGTTCTCACGTTGTTGTCTCCTAGGTTCTGATGTTGTTGTCTCCTAGGTTCTGATGTTGTTGTCTCCTAGGTTCTGATGTTGTTGTCTCCTAGGTTCTCACGTTGTTGTCTCCTAGGTTCTGACGTTGTTGTCTCCTAGGTTCTCACGTTGTTGTCTCCTAGGTTCTCACGTTGTTGTCTCCTAGGTTCTGATGTTGTTGTCTCCTAGGTTCTGATGTTGTTGTCTCCTAGGTTCTGATGTTGTTGTCTCCTAGGCTCTGATGTTGTTGTCTCCTAGGTTCTGATGTTGTTGTCTCCTAGGTTCTGATGTTGTTGTCTCCTAGGTTCTGACGTTGTTGTCTCCTAGGTTCTGACGTTGTTGTCTCCTAGGTTCTGATGTTGTTGTCTCCTAGGTTCTCACGTTGTTGTCTCCTAGGTTCTCACGTTGTTGTCTCCTAGGTTCTGATGTTGTTGTCTCCTAGGTTCTGATGTTGTTGTCTCCTAGGTTCTGATGTTGTTGTCTCCTAGGTTCTGACGTTGTTGTCTCCTAGGTTCTGACGTTGTTGTCTCCTAGGTTCTGACGTTGTTGTCTCCTAGGTTCTGATGTTGTTGTCTCCTAGGTTCTGATGTTGTTGTCTCCTAGGTTCTGATGTTGTTGTCTCCTAGGTTCTGATGTTGTTGTCTCCCAGGTTCTCACGTTGTTGTCTCCTAGGTTCTGACATTGTTGTCTCCTAGGTTCTGACGTTGTTGTCTCCTAGGTTCTGACGTTGTTGTCTCCTAGGTTCTGACATTGTTGTCTCCTAGGTTCTGATGTTGTTGTCTCCTAGGTTCTGACGTTGTTGTCTCCTAGGTTCTCACGTTGTTGTCTCCTAGGTTCTGATGTTGTTGTCTCCTAGGTTCTGACGTTGTTGTCTCCTAGGTTCTGATGTTGTTGTCTCCTAGGTTCTGACGTTGTTGTCTCCTAGGTTCTGATGTTGTTGTCTCATAGGTTCTCACGTTGTTGTCTCCTAGGTTCTGATGTTGTTGTCTCCTAGGTTCTGACGTTGTTGTCTCCTAGGTTCTGACGTTGTTGTCTCCTAGGTTCTGACGTTGTTGTCTCCTAGGTTCTGACGTTGTTGTCTCCTAGGTTCTGACGTTGTTGTCTCCTAGGTTCTCACGTTGTTGTCTCCTAGGTTCTGACATTGTTGTCTCCTAGGTTCTGATGTTGTTGTCTCCTAGGTTCTGACGTTGTTGTCTCCTAGGTTCTGACGTTGTTGTCTCCTAGGTTCTGACGTTGTTGTCTCCTAGGTTCTGACGTTGTTGTCTCCTAGGTTCTGACGTTGTTGTCTCCTAGGTTCTGACGTTGTTGTCTCCTAGGTTCTGACGTTGTTGTCTCCTAGGTTCTGACGTTGTTGTCTCCTAGGTTCTGATGTTGTTGTCTCCTAGGTTCTGACGTTGTTGTCTCCTAGGTTCTGACGTTGTTGTCTCCCAGGTTCTGACGTTGTTGTCTCCCAGGTTCTGACGTTGTTGTCTCCTAGGTTCTGACGTGGTGGACTGGCTGCACCGGGTCGTGGACGGGTTCACGGATCGCCGCGAGGCCCGCAGGTTCGCCGGGACGCTCCTGAAGGCCGGCTTCATCCGGCACACCGTCAACAAGGTCACCTTCTCCGAGCAGTGCTACTACGTGTTCGGAGACCTGTGTGGAGGTGAGGACAACAAGGACACCTGAACGAGTCCATTAGAGACAACAAGGACACCTGAGCGAGTCCATTAGAGACAACAAGGACACCTGAACGAGTCCATTAGAGACAACAAGGACACCTGAACGAGTCCATTAGAGACAACAAGGACACCTGAACGAGTCCATTAGAGACAACAAGGACACCTGAACGAGTCCATTAGAGACAACAAGGACACCTGAACGAGTCCATTAGAGACAACAAGGACACCTGAACGAGTCCATTAGAGACAACAAGCACACCTGAACGAGTCCATTAGAGACAACAAGGACACCTGAACGAGTCCATTAGAGACAACAAGGACACCTGAACGAGTCCATTAGAGACAACAAGGACACCTGAACGAGTCCATTAGAGACAACAAGGACACCTGAACGAGTCCATTAGAGACATATTTAATTAAAAGTACTTTTTTTTACATACATTGGTACAGAACAGAAAATGATGCGATGTATATCATGTTTGTTTATGTCTCAACCTGCAGTACCACTAATGACCACATGGTGGGGACAGAACACTAAGAGGGTCTGTTCACAGATTGTCTTCAGCTCAAACCTGGAGTCCTGAAGGACCAGGATGTAAACGCAGTACTACAGTAATACTATACATGTATTAGTGTAGTACTACAGTAATAGTACATATATTAGTGTAGTACTACAGTAATAGTACATGTATTAGTGTAGTACTACAGTAATAGTACATGTATTAGTGTAGTACTACAGTAATAGTATGTGTTAGTGATACCTGGTACTAACCCCCCTCCTCTCCCCTCAGAGCTGGGAGTGCTGACCCTGGATCCTGAGGAGGTCTGCAGGTCTGACCCCCCCGACCCCCAGAGACCCCCAGCATTCCCCTACCAGCTGCCCTCCTGGGGGGGGAGTCCCCACAGCGAAGGTGAGAGGTTTCACTTCAACTGTCTCTGTGTCAGTTAGTCTGTCTCATAACTTTAGTGTGTGTCAGTATATCTGAAATGACTAGGTTAGCTACGTTAGCTAGCTAGCTCTAACATCAGAAGGAGTCATGTGACCACATTGTTCAAATAAGACCATCAATGGTGTTGTTGCTGAATGTTCTCTAGACGCTGCACGTGTTGCTGAATGTTCTCTAGACGCTGCACGTGTTGCTGAAGAGGTTCCTTCATGAGGAACCTTTGTGTTTCTATATCTGCTTCTTTCTGAACGTGTTTCTGTTGCAGGAAGTCGCAGCAGCGGCTCAAACTGCAGCGACGCTCAGAGGGCGGGACGAGGACGAAGCGGCCAATCAGAGCCCGCCAAACAGGAAGTGAGCGCGTCGCCTGACACACAGCCGGCGACGGCTGTTTCCCCCGGCAACAACAGCAGTCTCCATGGCAACAGAGAGTCAGACGACCCCCCGCCTCCAGATGGAGCACTTCCCGCCTCTCGTCAGTCCTTCTGCCTCGCCATGGGAAACCCCGCAGATTTCTTTGTGGACGTCATGTGATCACATGACGACCCGTAGAGACGTTCAGCTGAGGGACACGTTTACGTTTATTCACTCATTCAGGGAGGTTTGACTGCAGCAGGAAGTAGCTGTACATTTATTTAAGAAGAGCTATTGAACTTCAGTGTTCCCTCTGTCGCACATCACAGGTCTGTAGAGCGCTTACAGGTCTGTAGAGCGCCTACAGGTCTGTAGAGCGCCTACAGGTCTGTAGAGCGCCTACAGGTCTGTAGAGCGCCTTCAGGTCTGTAGAGCGCCTACAGGTCTGTAGAGCGCCTACAGGTCTGTAGAGCGCCTACAGGTCTGTAGAGCACCTACAGGTCTGTAGAGCGCCTACAGGTCTGTAGAGCGCCTACAGGTCTGTAGAGCACCCACAGGTCTGTAGGTCTGTAGAGCACCCACAGGTCTGTAGAGCGCCTACAGGTCTGTAGAGCGCCTACAGGTCTGTAGAGCGCCTACAGGTCTGTAGAGCACCTACAGGTCTGTAGAGCACCTACAGGTCTGTAGAGCGCCTACAGGTCTGTAGAGCACCTACAGGTCTGTAGAGCGCCCACAGGTCTGTAGAGCGCCTACAGGTCTGTAGAGCGCCTACAGGTCTGTAGAGCGCCTACAGGTCTGTAGAGCGCCTACAGGTCTGTAGAGCGCCTACAGGTCTGTAGAGCGCCTACAGGTCTGTAGAGCGCCTACAGGTCTGTAGAGCGCCTACAGGTCTGTAGAGCGCCTACAGGTCTGTAGAGCACCTACAGGTCTGTAGACAGAGGGGGCGAGCTGGAGCCAAACCAAAAGAGAACACTGTGATTTCTGTTATTAGTGAACGTGTAGCGTAACCTCTGGACTTCCATCTTCTCCTAAACCCTAACCTCTACTTTAACCCAGTTTGTTTTCTGTACCGAGCTTTATTCTGAAGGACTGAGACACTCGTGCACTTTAGTGTCCGGTCGTATCGTGCAGATGAAGAAGCATTGAGAAAACATTCAAGCTCAAAACACAACAGAGACCAGGGGACACTAAAGAGTGACGCACACAGCTGGGAGACCAGGGGACACTAAAGAGTGACGCACACAGCTGGGAGACCAGGGGACACTAAAGAGTGACGCACACAGCTGGGAGACCAGGGGACACTAAAGAGTGACGCACACAGCTAGGAGACCAGGGGACACTAAAGAGTGACGCACACAGCTGGGAGACCAGGGGACACTAAAGAGTGACGCACACAGCTGGGAGACCAGGGGACACTAAAGAGTGATGCACACAGCTGGGAGACCAGGGGACACTAAAGAGTGACGCACACAGCTGGGAGACCAGGGGACACTAAAGAGTGACGCACACAGCTGGAGACCAGGGGACACTAAAGAGTGACGCACACAGCTGGGAGACCAGGGGACACTAAAGAGTGACGCACACAGCTGGGAGACCAGGGGACACTAAAGAGTGACACACACAGCTGGAGACCAGGGGACACTAAAGAGTGACGCACACAGCTGAGAGACCAGGGGACACTAAAGAGTGACGCACACAGCTGGGAGACGTTCAGGATGATGAAGCTGAACAACTGTCTCTGTTTGATGGTGTTATTTGAACAATGTGGTCACATGACTCCTTCTGATGTCATGTGGTCACATGACTCCTTCTGATGTCATGTGGTCACATGACTCCTTCTGATGTCACTGCAGATCTGCTGGAAGCTAGCTAGCTAACGTAGCTAACCTAGACAACACTTCCAGTTATGAGACGGACATGTTTCCTCAGGTTGGTGTGTTAGCATTAGCATTAGCGCTCACACGTGCCCGTACGGTATCGCCTCAGAGAAACTGACGACAAAGGTTTCAAACCTTTTCCCACTTGAGTTCAAACAGTGTTTCAGCTGGAGAGAGAAGATGAAGATCAGCTGGAGAGAGAAGATGAAGATCAGCTGGAGAGAGAAGATGAAGATCAGCTGGAGAGAGAAGATGAAGATCAGCTGGAGAGAGAAGATGAAGATCAGCTGGAGAGAGAAGATGAAGATCAGCTGGAGAGAGAAGATGAAGATCAGCCGGAGAGAGAAGATGAAGATCAGCTGGAGAGAGAAGATGAAGATCAGCTGGAGAGAGAAGATGAAGATCAGCTGGAGAGAGAAGATGAAGATCAGCCGGAGAGAGAAGATGAAGATCAGCTGGAGAGAGAAGATGAAGATCAGCTGGAGAGAGAAGATGAAGATCAGCTGGAGAGAGAAGATGAAGATCAGCTGGAGAGAGAAGATGAAGATCAGCCGGAGAGAGAAGATGAAGATCAGCTGGAGAGAGAAGATGAAGATCAGCTGGAGAGAGAAGATGAAGATCAGCCGGAGAGAGAAGATGAAGATCAGCTGGAGAGAGAAGATGAAGATCAGCCGGAGAGAGAAGATGAAGATCAGCCGGAGAGAGAAGAGAGAGAGAGCTTGCTTTACTTTCAATCAGACCGTTTCACTGTTTACATTGTTCCTGAAGAGGCCCTGCTCCGTGCCGCACTCCCATTGGCTAGCGCTCTAACACATTGTTCCTGAAGAGGCCCTGCTCCGTGCCGCACTCCCATTGGCTAGCGCTCTAACACATTGTTCCTGAAGAGGCCCTGCTCCGTGCCGCACTCCCATTGGCTAGCGCTCTAACACATTGTTCCTGAAGAGGCCCTGCTCCGTGCCGCACTCCCATTGGCTAGCGCTCTAACACATTGTTCCTGAAGAGGCCCTGCTCCGTGCCGCACTCCCATTGGCTAGCGCTCTAACACATTGTTCCTGAAGAGGCCCTGCTCCGTGCCGCACTCCCATTGGCTAGCGCTCTAACACATTGTTCCTGAAGAGGCCCTGCTCCGTGCCGCACTCCCATTGGCTAGCGCTCTAACACATTGTTCCTGAAGAGGCCCTGCTCCGTGCCGCACTCCCATTGGCTAGCGCTCTAACACATTGTACGTGATGGGCGGGACATCTCTAAGCTGCTTGACCAATCACAACAGAGCCGACCAGCTAACCAATCAGTTAAGACTGGGCTCTAGTTGGTTCTGGGCTCTGGTTGGCTCTGGGCTCTGGTTGGCTCTGGGCTCTGGTTGGCTCTGGGCTCTGGTTGGCTCTGGGCTCTGGTTGGCTCTGGTTGGCTCTGGGCTCTGGTTGGCTCTGGGCTCTGGTTGGCTCTGGGCTCTGACATTTTTCTGGAAATCTGAAAATTCAGACTTTTTTTTCAGAATTTCTGACTAACGCAAAGTTCTGACTATTTTTGGTGATTTTTTTTCTGAAAATCTGAAAATTCTGATTATTTCCGACTTATCTCAAAAGTCTGACTGGGCTCTGGTTTCAGACAGAGGGTGAAAAGAGGTGCTGCAGCACAGGCAGTGTGAGAATAATAACGAGCTTTTTGAACATTAAAGCATGGAGACATGTCCCAGTAGAGACATGTCCCAGGACAGACATGTCCCAGGACAGACATGTCTCAGTAGAGACATGTCCCAGGACAGACATGTCCCAGGACAGACATGTCTCAGTAGAGACATGTCCCAGGACAGACATGTCCCAGTAGAGACATGTCCCAGTAGAGACATGTCCCAGTAGAGACATGTCCCAGGACAGACATGTCTCTACAGACATGTCCCAGTAGAGACATGTCCCAGTAGAGACATGTCCCAGGACAGACATGTCCCAGTAGAGACATGTCCCAGTAGAGACATGTCCCAGTAGAGACATGTCCCAGGACAGACATGTCCCAGGACAGACATGTCCCAGGACAGACATGTCCCAGGACAGACATGTCCCAGTAGAGACATGTCCCAGTAGAGACATGTCCCAGTAGAGACATGTCCCAGTAGAGACATGTCTCAGGAGAGACAGATGTAAAAATGATGGATGAAGAGCTTTGATTATTAACTGATTTATTTATGATTATTTATGTATTTATGTATTTATTGATGATACTGTCTGTCTTCACTGTAAAGAGCTTTGAACACTAAATAAAGAAACGTCCAACTACATTTGTTTTGATTATTTTTGTCAGATATTGAATTTTGAGAACAAATACAGAATTTTTAGAAAAAATACAGAATTTTTAGAAAAAATACAGAATTTTTTGAAAAAATACAGAATTTTTAGATTTTTAGAAAAAAATACAGACTAAACCTTTATAAATACAGACTATAAACCTTTATAAATACAGACTATAAACCTTTATAAATACAGACTATAAACCTTTATAAATACAGACTATAAACCTTTATAAATACAGACCATAGACCTTTATAAATACAGACTATAAACCTTTATAAATACAGACTATAAACCTTTATAAATACAGACTATAGACCTTTATAAATACAGACTATAAACCTTTATAAATACAGACTATAAACCTTTATAAATACAGACTATAAACCTTTATAAATACAGACTATAAACCTTTATAAATACAGACTATAAACCTTTATAAATACAAACTATAGTATAAACCATAGACTGTATATATAAAGGTATTTATAAATACAGACTATAGTATAAACCATAGACTGTATATATAAAGGTATTTATAAATACAGACTATAGTATAAACCCTTATAAACCAGTCATGGTGTTGAAACGTCACGTCCTCCTCTCACCATGACTCCCCTGCAGAATGGGCCGCGTCCCATTCCGCTCCGCGCAGCCTGGGTTAGCAGCCTCTGTCGGTTTGGAGCCATTTACAGACCATAAAGGTAACCAGTTTGTGTCTGTGGTGAGAGGTAGTGGATAATCAGGAGGAGGAAGAGGAGGGAGGAGGAGGAGGGAGAGGAGGAGGAAGAGGAAGAGGAGGAAGAGGAGGGAGGGCTGCGCGGAACGGGATGCGGCCGGCTGCAGTCAGCTGACACACCGACATCTTGAGAGGAGCGGAGCTGCTGGAGGAGAGACAGACAGGTTAGAGCGAGACATACAGACAGCTTAGAGAGAGACAGACAGGTTAGAGAGAGACAGACAGACAGCTTAGAGAGAGACAGACAGGTTAGAGAGAGACAGACAGCTTAGAGAGAGACAGACAGGTTAGAGAGAGACAGACAGGTTAGAGCGAGACATACAGATAGCTTCGAGAGAGACAGACAGGTTAGAGAGAGACAGACAGGTTAGAGAGAGACAGACAGACAGCTTAGAGAGAGACAGACAGGTTAGAGAGAGACAGACAGCTTAGAGAGAGACGGACAGGTTAGAGAGAGACAGACAGGTTAGAGAGAGACAGACAGGTTAGAGAGAGACAGACAGGTACAAAGAGACAGCTTTATATAGCCTACCTGATCCCGCGAGGACACATCACCTCTCTGCAGGTGAGAGGACCGTCTGTCTGTCGGCCTGTGTGTGTGTGTATGTGTTGGCCTGTCTGTGTGCGTATGTGTTGGCCTGTCTGTGTGCGTGTGAGTGTGTGTCTGTCTGTCGGCCTGTGTGTGTGTGTGTGTTGGCCTGTCTGTGTGCGTGTGTGTGTTTATGTGTGTGTGCGTGTGTGTCTGTCTGTCGGCCTGTCTCTGTGTGTGTGTGTTCATGTGTGTGTGTGTTCATGTGTGTGTGTGTTTGTGTGTGTGTGTGTGTGTGTGTGTGTGTGTGTGTGTGTGTCTGTCTGTCAGGACAGATGTTGGTTGATTTCATTGGTTGATATTTAACAACAGAGTAAATATCAGTATGTAGTGTCTCTACTTTAAAGAGTCCCCTCCTGCTGATGTTCAGGTGTATATCAGTATGTAGTGTCTCTACTTTAAAGAGTCCTCTCCTGCTGATGTTCAGGTGTATATCAGTATGTAGTGTCTCTACTTTAAAGAGTCCTCTCCTGCTGATGTTCAGGTGTATATCAGTATGTAGTGTCCCTACTTTAAAGAGTCCCCTCCTGCTGATGTTCAGGTGTATATCAGTATGTAGTGTCTCTACTTTAAAGAGTCCTCTCTTGCTGATGTTCAGGTGTATATCAGTATGTAGTGTCTCTACTTTAAAGAGTCCTCTCCTGCTGATGTTCAGGTGTATATCAGTATGTAGTGTCTCTACTTTAAAGAGTCCTCTCTTGCTGATGTTCAGGTGTATATCAGTATGCAGTGTCTCTACTTTAAAGAGTCCTCTCCTGCTGATGTTCAGGTGTATATCAGTATGTAGTGTCTCTACTTTAAAGAGTCCTCTCTTGCTGATGTTCAGGTGTATATCAGTATGTAGTGTCTCTACTTTAAAGAGTCCTCTCCTGCTGATGTTCAGGTGTATATCAGTATGTAGTGTCTCTACTTTAAAGAGTCCTCTCCTGCTGATGTTCAGGTGTATATCAGTATGTAGTGTCTCTACTTTAAAGAGTCCTCTCTTGCTGATGTTCAGGTGTATATCAGTATGTAGTGTCTCTACTTTAAAGAGTCCTCTCCTGCTGATGTTCAGGTGTATATCAGTATGTAGTGTCTCTACTTTAAAGAGTCCTCTCCTGCTGATGTTCAGGTGTATATCAGTATGTCGTGTCTCTACTTTAAAGAGTCCTCTCCTGCTGATGTTCAGGTGTATATCAGTATGTAGTGTCTCTACTTTAAAGAGTCCTCTCCTGCTGATGTTCAGGTGTATATCAGTATGTAGTGTCTCTACTTTAAAGAGTCCTCTCCTGCTGATGTTCAGGTGTATATCAGTATGTAGTGTCTCTACTTTAAAGAGTCCTCTCCTGCTGATGTTCAGGTGTATATCAGTGTGTAGTGTCTCTACTTTAAAGAGTCCTCTCCTGCTGATGTTCAGGTGTATATCAGTATGTAGTGTCTCTACTTTAAAGAGTCCTCTCCTGCTGATGTTCAGGTGTATATCAGTATGTAGTGTCTCTACTTTAAAGAGTCCTCTCCTGCTGATGTTCAGGTGTATATCAGTATGTAGTGTCTCTACTTTAAAGAGTCCTCTCCTGCTGATGTTCAGGTGTATATCAGTATGTAGTGTCTCTACTTTAAAGAGTCCTCTCCTGCTGATGTTCAGGTGTATATCAGTATGTAGTGTCTCTACTTTAAAGAGTCCTCTCCTGCTGATGTTCAGGTGTATATCAGTATGTAGTGTCTCTACTTTAAAGAGTCCTCTCCTGCTGATGTTCAGGTGTATATCAGTATGTAGTGTCTCTACTTTAAAGAGTCCTCTCCAGCTGATGTTCAGGTGTATATCAGTATGTAGTGTCCCTACTTTAAAGAGTCCTCTCCTGCTGATGTTCAGGTGTATATCAGTATGTAGTGTCTCTACTTTAAAGAGTCCTCTCCTGCTGATGTTCATGTGTATATCAGTATGTAGTGTCTCTACTTTAAAGAGTCCTCTCCTGCTGATGTTCAGGTGTATATCAGTATGTAGTGTCTCTACTTTAAAGAGTCCTCTCCTGCTGATGTTCAGGTGTATATCAGTATGTAGTGTCTCTACTTTAAAGAGTCCTCTCCTGCTGATGTTCAGGTGTATATCAGTATGTAGTGTCTCTACTTTAAAGAGTCCTCTCCTGCTGATGTTCAGGTGTATATCAGTATGTAGTGTCTCTACTTTAAAGAGTCCTCTCCTGCTGATGTTCAGGTGTATATCAGTATGTAGTGTCTCTACTTTAAAGAGTCCTCTCCTGCTGATGTTCAGGTGTATATCAGTATGTAGTGTCTCTACTTTAAAGAGTCCTCTCCAGCTGATGTTCAGGTGTATATCAGTATGTAGTGTCCCTACTTTAAAGAGTCCTCTCCTGCTGATGTTCAGGTGTATATCAGTATGTAGTGTCTCTACTTTAAAGAGTCCTCTCTTGCTGATGTTCAGGTGTATATCAGTATGTAGTGTCTCTACTTTAAAGAGTCCTCTCCTGCTGATGTTCAGGTGTATATCAGTATGTAGTGTCTCTACTTTAAAGAGTCCTCTCCTGCTGATGTTCAGGTGTATATCAGTATGTCGTGTCTCTACTTTAAAGAGTCCTCTCCTGCTGATGTTCAGGTGTATATCAGTATGTAGTGTCTCTACTTTAAAGAGTCCTCTCCTGCTGATGTTCAGGTGTATATCAGTATGTAGTGTCTCTACTTTAAAGAGTCCTCTCCTGCTGATGTTCAGGTGTATATCAGTATGTAGTGTCTCTACTTTAAAGAGTCCTCTCCTGCTGATGTTCAGGTGTATATCAGTGTGTAGTGTCTCTACTTTAAAGAGTCCTCTCCTGCTGATGTTCAGGTGTATATCAGTATGTAGTGTCTCTACTTTAAAGAGTCCTCTCCTGCTGATGTTCAGGTGTATATCAGTATGTAGTGTCTCTACTTTAAAGAGTCCTCTCCTGCTGATGTTCAGGTGTATATCAGTATGTAGTGTCTCTACTTTAAAGAGTCCTCTCCTGCTGATGTTCAGGTGTATATCAGTATGTAGTGTCTCTACTTTAAAGAGTCCTCTCCTGCTGATGTTCAGGTGTATATCAGTATGTAGTGTCTCTACTTTAAAGAGTCCTCTCCTGCTGATGTTCAGGTGTATATCAGTATGTAGTGTCTCTACTTTAAAGAGTCCTCTCCAGCTGATGTTCAGGTGTATATCAGTATGTAGTGTCCCTACTTTAAAGAGTCCTCTCCTGCTGATGTTCAGGTGTATATCAGTATGTAGTGTCTCTACTTTAAAGAGTCCTCTCCTGCTGATGTTCAGGTGTATATCAGTATGTAGTGTCTCTACTTTAAAGAGTCCTCTCCTGCTGATGTTCAGGTGTATATCAGTATGTAGTGTCTCTACTTTAAAGAGTCCTCTCCTGCTGATGTTCAGGTGTATATCAGTAGTGTCTGTACTTTAAAGAGTCCTCTTCTCTGCAGGTCTCCCATAATGCTCTGAGGAGTAGCAACCATGATTGGAGGACTCTTCATCTATAACCACAAGGGGGAGGTATTGATCTCCAGAGTTTACCGCGATGACATCGGGTGAGTCAGAGATAATCTATAATCATCTGTTTCTGAGGTGGTCCCTGAAGGCAGCATCTCCCTGGTTGTGTTGGTCCCTGAAGGCAGCATCTCCCTGGTTGTGTTGGTCCCTGAAGGCAGCATCTCCCTGGTTGTGTTGGTCCCTGAAGGCAGCATCTCCCTGGTTGTGTTGGTCCCTGAAGGCAGCATCTCCCTGGTCCAATGGGATTCCTCCATGTGATTTTGGGTTATGTCAGAAAGTCTTTAAGTTAAAGGACACCTATCATGCTATCTTTAAATGATATATTGTAGGGCCATACCTATATAAGGTATATTTATACGTTTCTGTTTTCAAAATACCAAACAGATCATGCATTTTAGCCATGCCTCATTTCGCTCTATGTGCTGTTTGCTGTCTATGGGTCTGATTCTGCTGACCACGCCCCCCTGCAGGAGAGGGGAGACGTGCTCTGATCAGCTGCTGGGCTGTCAGAAGAGGGGGAGAAAAAGAGATCTCCGTCCTCCGTGTTTTATTATATAGAGTCGTTATTCATTTGTTTTAAAGCTCAATAAATAACAAAGAAGACCTTTGACCGGCACTTTTCTAATTTTGTCCGGAAGATTTAAACTTTAACGGACATCTTGACCGGAGAAAGAAACTGAAACTGAAACTCTGCCGCACGGTCCCCTGGTTCCTTGGAAGAGGCGGAGAGGTGGGTGTTTGTCATCTGCTGGTGGACTAACCGGAGAGAATTACAGTGCTTGCCTCGACGGGGAGGGATTGCATTGAATTAAAGCAGCGGGAGCAAACGCTTGCCTCGGGGAGGGAGAAAGAAAGCCACAGCGGAGAATAAACAGAAGGGTAACCATGGCAACTATGGGCGGGAAGTCTTCTTCGCTGCTTTTGTGGCAGACTACAGCGCCACTTACAGGCCTGGCATATGTACTACAGCGTCTCCAGCGCTTTCGAGCGGCAATGGCCGGCCGTGGCCCAACCCCACATTCCCCTGATAGGTGGAGAGTTGGCCCAATAGCCGTAGCGCCACCGTCCTGACGTCAGGACAGTGTTCAAATCTGGATCAGTTTTTATCAGATCCGTTGCAGCCCCTTTTTTAGAGATTTGGGTATGGAGGAAAATAGAGAGGGTTGTGTTTTCTGACACTTGGTGAGTTCCCTGGAACACCGGGGACACATATTCATGTATACAAGACGTACACAAGTGCATTTTGCATGATAGGTCCCCTTTAAGTGAAGTTTTGTTCTTTAATAAAGTAATAAAAGTCAAAGCATTGAACAGAGTTAATGCATTTCATCTGAAAGGACAGAGCACAGATTGTTCCTACTATGGACGTTTAATAAGAGCGTTGGAGGCGGAGCTTGTTCTTTCCAATGAGAGCTGCTCATTGGCTCATGAGGACAAAATGGCCTGAGATCATCGAGAGCAAAACGTCACAGATTACCCATCATGCCTTGTTGTCAGAGCAGAAGTACCCGTATGTGACTCATAGAGCAGAGTTGAGTTTCCTCTTAAGCCCCGCCTCCTGTCATTAACCTGTTAAGCCCCGAGCCTGTTTTTCAGGTTTCAGGCTCGAAAATGACATGCCCAAAACAAATGACTACAACTTAACTTCTAAAAGGGTTATATGAATAATTTCTTTTATCAAAGCAAGGTTACATCTGTGAGTTGGATGTAGAAGTGTCAGAATCAATATAGATGTTTCTCAGTCAGAGTAAATTCAGATGGAACATAGTAAAAAAAGGTAAATTCTTACCTCTGCCTAAAGAACAAACATTACTTATAGTGAAAACCAGCCTTGGATGATGAGTTAGTAGACTAAAAGCTTTAGGAATCCAAACTATAACATATAATAAGTACCCTGTATCAAGATTGAGGCAAAACAAGTTAAATTTGACCTTTTTAGAGAGGTTTAGCAAAAAAAGGTTCCAGGCGGAATAAGATTTCGGCACATTTGGGTACATCTGGTTCCATCAGTGCCATTTGACCTTTTTCAGGTACCAGACTATAAAAATGATGTATTACATTGAATTATCACCATAGGTATTCATTCCATCCAAAGAAAAACAATTAAAATAAAAAATAAAAATAAAAAAAAGATTGTGAAGAAAAAAAAAGACCCGCCGACGGGGTCTTTGGGTCTTTGGGTCTTTGGGTCTTTGGGTCTTTGGGTCTTTGGGTCTTTGGGTCTTTGGGGCTTTGGGGCTTTGGGTCTTTGGGGCTTTGGGGCTTTGGGTCTTTGGGGCTTTGGGGCTTTGGATCTTTGGGTCTTTGGGGCTTTGGGTCTTTGGGGCTTTGGGTCTTTGGGGCTTTGGGGCTTTGGGGCTTTGGGTCTTTGGGGCTTTGGGTCTTTGGGGCTTTGGGGCTTTGGGGCTTTGGGGCTTCTCCATGTTAGACAATGGGAGAAAGTCTTTCTGTCCCAGTGACGTCACGGACTGATACGGAAGGTGTAGTACCGCCGTTTGGACACTAGGAATATGTTCCTCAGAGTCCGGAGCACTTCCTGGGGGCTTGGGTTAGATCTGGGGATGGGTATCGTTTGAAATCTATCGATTCCGGTTCTTATCGATTCCCCGTTTCGATTCCAAAATTGTAAAAGAAAGAGGTCAAACGTTTAGATAACAAAAATATCTTTATTCTTTTCAGCTTTAACTGACATTTTTACAAATAAAAAATATACATGCAATACAAATGTATTGCACAATAGCTGTGCTTTATTGTAACTGAGCTATGCCTGAGGCAAGCTATCAACAGGCATTACACTGTACAGTGGAGCCTCACGTTTACCGCGCCCCATCTTTGGTGTTATGAAGTGACTGAGGGAGGGCGGGGGGAGCCTCGCTGAGGGAGGGCGGGGGGAGCCTCGCTGAGGGAGGGCGGGGGGAGCCTCGCTGCGGGGCAACTGTGGACCTCTGTCGCCTGTCAGCGCAACTTACATGATGCCGTTTAAAAAAATGAAGGGCGGTGCCGGCCGTCAGCGAACCAAGCCGGCCGTCAACGGCCCGCTGACGACCGGCCGCTCTGTGATTCTCCAGAACACACAGATGGCCAGTCCGCCCTTACCCTGGCTGTATTCCACCGGGTCACCGCGGCGCAGACGGACCCGCGGCGCAGACGGACCCGGTGGAATACAGGGTCTACTGCGTTTAGGAACCGTTAAGCAGAACTGAAATTGTGTATTTTGTATGGGTACCCGGTACCCGGCATTTTCTTATCGGTTCTCATCTGGAACCGAGTTTCGGTTCCCAACTCTAGTCAGATCTGACCAGCGGCTAGATGTGGATTCTTAATGATACTTGTTAGCTTGTTATGGATCTAGGGTTAGATGTTTACACAGCTAACACACATGTTTAGCACTTCACATTTGTACTAATCTGTTAGAGAACTCTCCCTGGTCTCCAGCTTGAGCTTCAATCTCAGGATCCATGTATCTGTGATCCTCTCCAGAATGGAAGGAGTCATCACATACAGAGCATCAACTAGTTCCTGAACAGTGTCCTTCACATGCTGATATCCAAGAGAGGGAGTTACACAGTCACAAGATGGAGGAATAGAAAGCAGTATTCAATGTTTACTTCAGATTAGCTCCACGTCAGAAATGAGCATGCTTGTCATATGTCTATCTCCATAGAGGCTGAATCATCATGTTAATCACATAGCTATCATATGCCTCAAACAGTCCTGATGCTCTTCTAGGTAATCATACATCCTGTCATGTTCACAGCTACAGTTGGGATACCTTTGTTAGCATGTTGCTCTCATGTTGGAAGAGGACATTCAGTGTTTTCCCAACATAAAGTGATGATTCTTCTTCTCTCTCCAGGAGGAATGCGGTAGATGCGTTCCTGTTAGCTTGTGATGTGTAACAGGAAGTGATGATTCTTCTTCTCTCAGGAGGAATGCGGTAGATGCGTTCCTGTTAGCTTGTGATGTGTAACAGGAAGTGTTTCTTCTTCTCTCTCCAGGAGGAATGCGGTAGATGCGTTCCTGTTAGCTTGTGATGTGTAACAGGAAGTGATGTTTCTTCTTCTCTCAGGAGGAATGCGGTAGATGCGTTCCGGGTGAGCGTGATCCACGCCCGGCACCAGGTGCGCTCTCCGGTCTCTAACATCGCCCGGACCAGCTTCTTCCATGTGAAGCGCTCCAACGTGTGGCTGGCGGCCGCCACGCGGCAGAACGTCAACGCCTGCATGGTGTTCGAGTTCCTCTACAAGATGTGTGACGTCATGACCGCATACTTCGGGAAGATCAGCGAGGAGAACGTGAAGAACAACTTCGTGCTGATCTACGAGCTGCTGGACGGTACGCTCTTATTCTGAAACTCATGGCGAGTCTTATCGAGTGATACCACTAATAAGACTTCCTGTCATAATGCTAACACTTCATATGTTACTACTGGAAATACTACCTATACTACTGCTACTACTACCACCTATACTACTAACAATACTACTAACAATACTACTGGGAATACTACCTATACTACTAACAATACTACTGGGAATACTACCTATACTACTACCTATACTACTAACAATACTACAGGTAATACTACCTATACTACTAACAATACTACTGGGAATACTACCTATACTACTAACAATACTACTAACAATACTACTAACAATACTACCTATACTACTAACAATACTACTACCTATACTACTAACAATACTACCTATACTACTAACAATACTACTAACAATACTACTGGGAATACTACCTATACTACTAACAATACTACTGGGAATACTACCTATACTACTACCTATACTACTAACAATACTACAGGTAATACTACCTATACTACTAACAATACTACTGGGAATACTACCTATACTACTAACAATACTACTAACAATACTACCTATACTACTAACAATACTACTACCTATACTACTAACAATACTACCTATACTACTAACAATACTACTGCTAATATTACCTATACTACTAACAATACTACTAACAATACTGCTGATAATACTACCTATACTACTAACAATACTACTGCTAATACTACCTATACTACTAACAATACTACTAACAATACTGCTGATAATACTACCTATACTACTAACAATACTACTGCTAATACTACTGGTAATACTACCTATACTACTACCAATACTACTAACAATACTACTGGTAATACTACCTATACTACTAACAATACTACTGGGAATACTACCTATACTACTAACAATACTACTGCTAATACTACCTATACTACTAACAATACTGAATACTACCTATACTACTAACAATACTACAGGTAATACTACCTATACTACTAACAATACTACTGGGAATACTACCTATACTACTGCTACTACTACCTATACTACTAACAATACTACTGGGAATACTACCTATACTACTAACAATACTACTGGGAATACTACCTATACTACTAACAATACTACTGCTAATATTACCTATACTACTAACAATACTACTAACAATACTGCTGATAATACTACCTATACTACTAACAATACTACTGCTAATACTACCTATACTACTAACAATACTACTAACAATACTGCTGATAATACTACCTATACTACTAACAATACTACTGCTAATACTACTGGTAATACTACCTATACTACTACCAATACTACTAACAATACTACTGGTAATACTACCTATACTACTAACAATACTACTGCTACTACTACCTATACTACTGCTACTACTACCTATACTACTAACAATACTACTGATAATACTACCTATACTACTAACAATACTACTGCTACTACTACCTATACTACTAACAATACTACTGCTAATACTACCTATACTACTAACAATACTACTAACAATACTGCTGATAATACTACCTATACTACTACCAATACTACTAACAATACTACTGCTAATACTACCAATACTACTAACAATACTACTAACAATACTACTGCTAATACTACCTATACTACTAACAATACTACTGCTAATACTACCTATACTACTAACAATACTACTAACAATACTACTGGTAATACTACCAATACTACTAACAATACTACTGCTAATACTACCAATACTACTAACAATACTACTGCTAATACTACCTATACTACTACCAATACTACTAACAATACTACTGCTAATACTACCAATACTACTAACAATACTACTAACAATACTACTGCTAATACTACCTATACTACTAACAATACTACTGCTAATACTACCTATACTACTAACAATACTACTAACAATACTACTGGTAATACTACCAATACTACTAACAATACTACTGCTAATACTACCTATACTACTACCAATACTACTAACAATACTACTGCTAATACTACCAATACTACTAACAATACTACTAACAATACTACTGCTAATACTACCTATACTACTAACAATACTACTGCTAATACTACCTATACTACTAACAATACTACTGCTAATACTGCGAGTGATACTGCTGGTAATACTTTCTTTAATACTGCTGATAATACCTGTTACCTGGTATTATCCGTAAGCTCTTATTTTGAAAGGGACATGATTTGACTTGAAGTTCGTCTATAGATTTTATTTCATTTAAAACATACTGCAGGATTTTATAAAACTACTGATTACCTTTCTATATATTTTAGTGACTCGGAAAGGAAGTGTAAACAGGAAGTGTAAACAGGAAGTGTAAACAGGAAGTGAAACCTCCAACAGGAAGTGAAACCTCCAACAGGAAGTCGTCTCCTCTGTTGTTTTTTTAGGTTTTGATTTTTGTAAGCACTAAATGAGAAAATCAAAACATAAAGAAAGTCCAGCGCTGACGAGAGTCTCCTCCGAGGTGTGTGTTTAACGGTGTGTGTGTATGTAACGGTGTGTGTGTGTGTGTTTAACGGTGTGTGTAATGATGTGTGTGTGTGACGGTGTTTATAACGGTGTATAATATAAAAGTTTCCCCATCATAACAACATATTTTCTGAACTCCAGTTTTAAGCCTCTCAGAACTACAATACCCATGAGCCTTAGCGGCTGCTCAGAGGTGTCGTCATGGTGACAGCAGTCATTAAAACATTTAATTTAAACAATTCATCTACAGGAAATAATCTGTAAATCTATCAGCAGTGTGATCTCTGTGGAGCTCTGTGATTGGCTGTTTGATGGAGAACTGCACCCTGGGAGATGTAGTTTAATTGTTCATGTCAACAGGCTGTTCCAGATATTTACGTGTGTGTGTGTGTGTGTGTGTGTGTGTGTGTGTGTGTGTGTGTGTGTGTGTGTGTGTGTGTGTGTGTGTGTGTGTGTGTTGTGTGTGTGTGTGTGTGTGTGTGTGTGTGTGTGTGTGTGTGTGTGTGTGTGTGTGTGTGTGTGTGTGTGTGTGTGTGTGTGTGTGTGTGTGTGTGTGTGTGTGTGTGTGGGTGTGTGTGTGTGTGTGTGTGTGTGTGTGGTGTGTGTGTGTGTGTGTGTGTGTGTGTGTGTGTGTGTGTGGTGTTGTGTTGTGTGTGTGTGTGTGTGTGTGTGTGTGTGTGTGTGTGTGTGTGTGTGTGTGTGTGTGTGTGTGTGTGTGTGTGTGTGTTGCAGAGATTCTGGACTTTGGGTACCCTCAGAACTCAGAGCCCGGAGCTCTGAAGACGTTCATCACTCAGCAGGGGGTCAAGAGTCAGGTGAGAGGGGGCTTTAGATATCAGGGCTTCTTTATTCATACTTTTTAAAATCAATATTTCATCTTCTTATGATTTTATATTTATATTTCATTGGTTATTTTTATTGTTCTATATTATTTTTGTTGTTCATTTCTTTCACACTCT